ACGGCGATTCATCCTTTAAGAAAAACGCGCATGAGAGGGGAAGGCGGGGCTAGGCTACGGCACGCTCCAATCGACGCGCAATTGGTTCTAAACAGCGGGGTCTGTCTTCTACGCTTTCAAGCCTTTAACTTTTTTTATATGGTAGTTTTTCATAATTTGAGCGACCGCTCAAAAAAATAGAAGATACTTTGCTCTATCTTTTTTAATAGTGGTCTTGTCAAAATCGAGCGTTGAGAAACGCGACTTCTGATGGTTTGAAATTTGAAAAATGAGGTGCAAGTTATCGTCTGAGCTCAAATCCAGCTAGGAATACTGGCTCAAACACTCAACTACATTTTCTGGAAGAGTATCTGTCATGGACTTCCCAATATTGAGTCAACTTGGGGTTTTAAAAAATTTACGCGACGATTCCAGTTCAATGTTTTCGAGTTTTCACCACCTGAGCTATAACTTTGTTTATGATGTGTTTTCGAATCTACTAGCGGACTAGGAACGAAGAGCAGAACTTACCCTATCTTTTGCATCTAGTTTGTAATAGCCCAGCGCCGAAATTTAGCGAATGGGTCCTGTAAGAGGGTGCGATCGGCTTACGATCTTACTGGCCTATTCCGCACGGAGAGAAGGTGCTAGCCAGCTTTTTTGGGTTTTATAGGGTTACGGAATTCCTTTATGAACATTTGGAGCAAAAAGCAAAAAGAAAACGCAGAGGTTTGCGGCCTCGGGGATCGAACCCGCACCCCCTGTCTCGGGGGCTGGACCGCCAGCCTTAGCACCACTACACCACGCCTCGACCACCCCTCCCGTGCGCGCTCTGAAACGCCGTGGGTACCAGCCCAAGCTCTGAAAGTTGAGCTAGCCCTTTAAGAACGTTCTGCAACTCCGTTAAAGGGATGCCCAACCTTCTCGCCGAGAAGTTCTCGGGGCTCAAAAAGCAAAAACCATGCCGCGGGCGGGGGTCGAACCCGGGACCCCCGTTTGGTAGGCCTGGATACTATCCATTAGGCCATAGTGGCAAGCCACTGGATGGGATGGGGACGCCACAAGAGGGAAAGGGTCCGAATTCGGTGCGGCAATGGGCTCCCCGTTGCCGCACAAAATTCGAGCGTCATTTGTACTGCCCGGAATACATAACTATATATTTGCCGCCAAAACCTTGGGTATCCCTTTAATGGGTCAGGAAGGCCCACGTAGGTCTGATATGCAAGCAATACCCAACTGGCCCCGGACCACCTTCATGTAATACCCCCCACATCACTCCCTTCCTTCACCAATACCCACGATTTATCCGGGCCTGCTGATCTTTTTAAATGTTTAACGAAGGCTAAAATTTGATCCCCAACTTTCTTCATCGTTCTTAGGATTCTCCGGTGCCAGGGAAGAAGGAGCCAGGTGCGAGTGGCGAAACCACGGCAAAGGTTGAGGTCTGATTTTTGCATCTTTAGTTATCGATACTCTATACAACCCGTTTCTACCAAGTTTTATTATTGTCGTATTGTCATAACACATGCCTAAAGTGGCAGCGCTTTCAAAATTTTAGCAATGTTTCTGAATGCGGCTAGCGAAGGCACGATTGGAAATGCTTGTTAGGCCCCTCTTTCGAGGGGTCAGCAGGCGATCCCAATCGTTCTCTGCGATGCCCTGGAAACGGATGAGTACTAAAAACGGTCTGAAAGGCTCTAAAATCGTTTGTAATTTCTTAGTATTTTATTCGGAAATTGATCCCGACCCTATTTCTTCGGTCTTAGGACTCTGCGGTGCCGACGAAGAAGGAGCCCAGCGCGAGTGGTGAGGCTCCAGCAACGGTGGAGGTCGGCTAGCCTCTATTTTCTTCGGCTAGGGGGGTTATCGGCCCGGCGCCAAGTTTCGACCCGGTTTTGCGTCGTAACTTCGAATTCGATTCGGATTTTCACCACGTCGATTTTCGCAAAGCCGGTTTGATCCCCCCCCCCCCCGACCCGCCTACCGTATCTCGGCTCCGTGTTATTCTATCGGATCGTATAGTATACCAAAATACTCGCCACAGCAAGGCGAATGTTTTGGTATACTTTACACACCTGTAAACCAATAGGGAGCTGAGATATAAAATATTGGCGCCAGCTGGGGAGTGGCGGGGGGGGGGGGGACGGTACCAAGGCAAGTTTTACGTTTACAGGCCGGCGCTGCGCCATTGGCGCCCGCCAATAACAATGACATCCCGGCCGTGACGGCGGCAAGGAAAATCTTCAACTACTTGTCCCAAACCAATTGGATCGCGCGCACCGCCAAGGGGTTCAATACGGTACACCGTGGTTATTAGCTTCCAAATCCTTACCTTGCAGGATGAGCCCAACGAGTTGGACACGGCCGATCTGATAGTTATGTTCAAGCACGCCAAGCAGCTCGTCATCGGGCAGCGCGGCGTGGTCCGGTTGACGGGCCCCGTCTGGGTGATCGGCGACCTGAATGGGAGATCACTGGGCGTGAGTCGTCCCAATGATATGTATCTGGCGCATAAGCAATTAGGTCCTTCCGCGGTATCGGGACGGGCGGGCTATCTTACAAAGGCCTCCTGCTGATGAATCCCTATGGCGCGCCCCTGCGCCCAGTTACAGTACCCCCACAGGACCGCGCCCCCATTACGTTTGCTAAAGGTCCTAGCCCAGGCAAGTAAGACAAAAGCAACAACTTTATTGCAATATTGGAGAAAACAATGTAGCAAAACAAAACAACAATAACAAGAAGTTCAACATCAAACTCGACGAGTGCGGCAAGGTATCAGGCTTGTAGATTTTTCTTTGTGCGCTCCTCTCTGTCTTCTTAGCGCTCCGCGATTGCATTTGATAATTTTGCGATGACTGTCTGATAGGAGCGGTCCCTTGGTGGTGGGGTGCAATTCGATTCTCTTTGTCTTGCGTTATGGAGGAATACTGCTCATCAATTGTTTGCTTAAGCTTTTTGAGCATTTCAATATCTTGGCTGCCGCCAATCGCGAAATAAATTGCGTTCAGGGTCTAGAATTTATTTGTGAATTTGTCCAACTACTTACGGTGCGCACATCATCGACAAGTTCCTTGGCCTGCGGCTCGCTGGATGTTGAAGGAGCAACTGAAATGGACTCCTGCCCGGACTCGTCACACAAATAGTCAGCTATGCCATGTTCGTCTTCGTGTTGTGTGGCAGGTATCGGGGTTACTCCCCTTTCCTTGGCTTCATTCTTAATCAATCCTAGGAAAGGTTGATTCTAGACTACAGCCAACAACACCTGCGAGTGCGAGAGCGTGTATATGTACACAAGAAACACCCTTCATGGTGGCACTCGGACATTCGCAAGAAAAGGAGTAGGGACACACAGCGCATTGACGACAATGGGCATTCAACTCCCTAAAGATCGGTAAGACTCTAATTTTTAACGTACTGAGCAGGTGCAACTTCCGAGTCGGACGATTCTGTAACTATGGCTCGCCGTTTTCGACTTCACGGTCCAAACTTCTTCGTGAATTTGTGCACAATCTTCCGCGGCGTACTTTTCACAACTTTGTCGGTGTCGTCTGTTGTTTTCCTCCATTCTTTTCGTAGGGTTTAGAGTGCGTGCGTCTGTTACACATAAGTGGGCCAGGTAATTTTGCGGATATCGTATCAGGCGTTCGACCAGCGCATCTGCGCGACCCTGCCGTTTAGTGTAGATGTGCTCCTTCTTTAGCCGCCGGTGCCAAGTTTCTGCCGCCATTGATGTATTGAACGGTGCAAGCTCTCGTCCCCAGGCCGCCCACTCCTCTTGTCTTGGATAGTGATATTCCTTGAAACAAGTAAGTTGTTATTTTATCTTGCTTACCATGAAATAGTCCAGGTATTCTTGCTCTCCGCGTGTGCGTAAATTTTCCAAAATATTATTGAGCAGTTCATCAAAAGATTGCCGATTCGTCAAATTGAACAATAGTCGGAAGTCTTTCATCAGCGTGTCCGCGTAGTTTTTCTAATAGATTTTATACACATGATAAATTCCTACTTCTTCCAGGCATCTGGTTTTTCGTTTTAGAGTCTGCAATGAGTGCCACTTGCACAAAGCTCGCCGCGATCCGTTTGTCGTAAAAATATTATTGTAGGCTTTCCAGAAAACTACGTCGTCATCCGACATGAAGAAATCGGGGTTGAATTCGGGGCTCACTTGCCTGTTTTAAAGTTGAATTTTAGACTCAAGGACTTACTTTACAGCTTGGAACAGCTTCTCGACGTCGGTTGTGCGCATTTGAGACGACAACATATAGGCGACCGGTAGACCACGATCTCTGCCGTCCAATACTAGTAGCGTCGCCAGGCGCAGATCATAATTCGTAATATTGAAAGTGTCGTCAATGATGCATCCTCTCTGTGCATATTCACGTAGCCAGCGCTGTTGCAACGGCGTTATTATGACTGTAAGTAAACATTTAATGCCTCTTTAGCCGCCATTACCGAGATTAAAGCCTTTAGGACTTGGAAGTTGGTTCGGCTTGTCAAACGAAAAGATGCCATCAGTCGCCAACTTTCTTTCGGCTCGAATTTCTAGCGAACGGACGTCAGATTGATCGAATCGTCCTTGAATTAGTCCCTTCCGCATTTGAATGGCACGAATATCCGCCAGCGTAATGTAAAATTCTCTCGTTTTCGGCTTATCAGCTGATATGTTGTCACTCAAGTAGGCTGCGCGGATTTGCTCAATTACTTTCGATGCTGGTATGTCTAAATTCACTCAAATGTTGGCCTCTCACTGTAAAGTACCCATATTCAACATGCGAACGATGCGGTCTTCAATAATTGAATTCTTTAAGGTGAGCTGCGGGATATTAGGAGCGTGATTGTGTGTTTCTTGATAAGTAATCACCGTGGACTCTCCGAATTTCACCTAAAAAATAACCGCCCTTGCAACTTCCTTACTTTACAAACGCGGGACAGGTGGTACTTTGGCAAACTTTTTTCCTCTACTGGCGCGCCGGAAGTGGTGGCATCATCACCGTTTGCACACCGATAGTAGCGGTAGTTTTTCGAAGAAGAGCGTACAAAAAAGCGCGCGTCCGTGCGGTGTTCAAATATCTTCAACCACTCATCAAAACAAGCCTCCTCAAGTCGGGTCTCCTTGATAACGAAACTAAAGGAAGTTATTACGTTAAAATCAATCTACGGTTTGTCCTCTGTGGCGTGGACGCTTGAATAGTGAGTGCAAAAGTTGTAGTAGGTGTCCAGGGAGAGGTCACAGGTGGTGCAATAAAAACGTCCGTCATCGTCTTCAGCCTCGGGCGGTAGATGAAAAGCCCTGATATGATCGGCAGCCGCCGACTTCGTTGGGAAACGAGCAGCACAATCCAGGGCAGCTCCAGAACTTGGGACGAGAGATTGGGGGTGGCAAATGTGATCCGCCGTGCAAATTGTCGCCATGCGCGCGCATGTTGCAAGCGCGGTCGGTGTTATAGGCGCATTTCGGGCATTGGAATTTTACCATCTTCTGCAAGCAAGTATTATACAAGTTTCAAGCATTCGGCAGAAAAACGAAAATAGTACTCTCTGTTATTGTAACGAGATAGAACGACAAAATATTATGTTCCCAGACCATCTAAAAAACATTCTATTCACTTTATAGCTTTTAGCTTTTTGATTTATATTTACTTTTTGTTTTTCTTATTGACTTTCTGTCTAGCTTTTACTTTTCTGGTTCAGAGATTAGCCAGCGTAATTGGGGCGCGGTCGGGTGGGGTACTGTAACTGGGGCGCAGGGGCGCGCCATAGGGATTCATCAGCAGGAGGCCTTTGTAAGATAGCCCGCCCGTGGTATCGGGGGTGGGGGAGGGGACAATTTTCTTCTTAGGATACAATATTCTAAAATAAATATCGGAAGTGTTTCCATCAAAACTCTTTTTACTATTCCTAAGCGCGATACTTTACAAAACCTTGTTTGAAAAATGTAAAAGGTCTATTTTTCTACCAAAAATCCCAGCTTCCGACCATAATTTCGACTAAAAATTTTTATAGGCTACTTTTCTTGTTTTTCCACATAAAAAAATAGTTAAATTTTGTTAACGCTATTAAAATAGTTACTTTTCGGTTATTAGGACTTCTGGATTCATAGGAAAAAGTCGAACCCCTTCCCCTCCCCCGATAATGCGATAGAACCATGCGTGCAGCGTTGAGAGTGCCGAAATGCTATAATTTTAGTTTATAACCACCTGGCGTCTGTTCCAAGCCTATGCGACAATGGCCGAGCCGGGGACAAAGTATGTAGGGCATGACGGTCGCACCGATCACCGATCAGAACCTCGATTTTCAAAATTTCGAATTTTCAGAATCCCCAAATTTCGATAGTACTAATCAACATTTAGAATAGCAGAGATTGCACCTTGATACCCTGCATCCCGTCCATGCAAATTTCGAGATGATCGGAAAAAAATCGAGATTACGAAAATTCGAGATTACCAAAATCACGAAAATTAGAAATTCCCTTTTTGATAGATCCCCAGATTTTGATAGATTTGAGATTGCACGGATAACAACAACTATACCTAGGTTGCTGTTCCTGGGAAATCTGGGCTCTCCCCAGGGCGCAGCGGGCGGCGCCCTGCCCATCATCTCACTCGTCGTCTCTGCCATGGTCCTCTACCCTGACAAGGTAACGCAACCTCATAGAGCTCTACAGGATGCCCCAAAAAAAGTGTCCGATTTTTACACCTTAGATATTTAACGAAAGCTCTCGGCGTGCTGAGAAAACACTTTTATCCCTGCTTCCAAATTCCAGACTTATTGTAAAGTGTTTTTATTCAACTTGGAGGTTTTTTTTTCGATGCCAGGTGCAACTTGTGCAGAATTTTTCGCTGACTGCGGAGTTTGATTAAAAAAGTCATCTAACACGCAAATTAAGCTTAGAAACCGCAAAAATTGGGGTCCACGCCCACGTTCCGTTCTCCGTGCAGCCCTTACCCGAGACCTTATCGGCCTCACCCATCCTATAGCTCAGTTGGCGCCGTGGGACATTGTAGTGTGGTTGCCAGTCCAGCGCAGTGCGACGGTTCGGACCCCCGACCTGCACGACCTGTTTTGCTATTTGCATAAAAAGCTATGTTTGGTCTTGTCAATTCATATTTTAGCCTGCAACGCGCTTAACCAGCCAATTCGAATGGATAAATTATCAAAAAATGAATATTTCAAATCATGATTTTAGCAAAAAATTTTTAACTTAAACTAGGGTTGAAAAACCGCTTCGCGACTTTCCAACCCGTTTTAAAATTCAAATTCCGAAGAAATTTTGGAACGGGAGTTCGGAATCAGCGGAAAATTTTGCACAAGGGGCACTTGGTCCCGAAACGAAACCCCGAGTTGAGTAAAAACACTTTACAGTTTACATTTTCTAGCCTCTATCATATGGCGCTCGCGAAATTTCATCGTTATCTTAAAAAATGATATAATGAGTGCCCCCCGGGTAATTGTATCTCCGCCTATGATATTGGCTCCCCTGTAGCTGCTTATTGCGCATTTTTTTAGGTCTTCTACCTGTGTGGATCGTTCGAGGAGCCGAGGAATGGGAGAGAATTGCAGCTGACCGCCTTCGCTACCACCGGGAACGAAGAAGATGCTGCAAATACGGTCATCTACGAATTCTTTGCGCAGCTGCCTCTCTTTGCGACGATTGACGAGCGGATCCTGGCGATGCACGGTGGCCCTTGTTAGTGGTTACTATTATTAGGGGGGCGCTTACTCTTTAGCGGGGGATCGGATTATTATCATATCCAAAATATCCAAAAATTGCCATTTTGTACTTTTTGTTGACGCTTTGATTGGTGCTCTGGACGTTTCCATGCATGCAGCGCAAGAAGGAGATCTTCGAAACGTTGCAAAATACTTTTTGTACCTTTTTGGACATGAAAAATTACTACACACAGGTTTTTGGGTGCATATCCATGACTATATTTTTCCCTCACTCGCCCCTCTTTGGCCGGGTAAGGGCGCCCCCCCCCTCGCCCGGATCAGGCACCTCTCGCTCTTACTGTTAGGCCGGCCCCATCTTTTCGAACCGCTTGCCACTATGGCCTAATGGATTTTGCTTTGGATTTTTTGCTTTTTCGAGACCGAAAAGGTCGGGCATCTCTTTAAAGGAGCTCAGAAGTCAAAATTAGCGCGTGCGAGGATTGAACCTTCGGGTCAAAAAACGAAAGGGTCGCTGCCGAGAAGTGCCGGAAAAGTGATTTTATTGCGAAAAAACGTCAAATATTTGAGTAAAACCGAAAAGTCCTCGGGGCGAAAACGACTTTTTGAGTGGGCGGCTATTACATGTCGTAATGCCTTGTAAGGCACCCAATCTCTCGATCTCGGTGATTCTCTGATCAATTTTCATAATTTAAAAGTCTGGAATGATCAAAATTCGTTGAGGATTCCAAAAATAGCATCAGAATTTTGAAATTCAAACGTTTTCGCGACCAAACAAAAGCAAAAGCTCATGCGGCGCGGTCGCGTTGCGGCCACCCCTTATAGCCCCGGACGCTATCCATTAGGCCATAGCGATAAGCCTTTTGTAGCGATGAGGCCCGCCCAAGAGGGATAGGGGGTCTGATCCAGGCAAAGGAGCCGCCCTTACCATGCCAAAGGGAGCGAGTCGGGAAAATATAAAGTTATGGATTTGCCCTCTAAACCTTGGCTGTCTCTTTGCATGAAATTGTTCATTATTAGGACGTCAAAAGGTCGAAAAATAAAAAAATCGTTTTCCCGTCGGCCTTGCGCTCCTGAATCACACTAGCTTTGGAGCCTGAGAATCGGTTCCTAGCCACAGATTCCAGGTCCCGAGCTGAGCAAGAGCCTGTTGAAGCGCGGCTTCGACCCCAGCGACGCGAAGATGAAAAAACTGCGCGCCACAACCCTTCAGAGTGCTCCTAACTGGTCCGCGAAAAAGTTGGTCAATCTTTACCCGTGCTGTACTTGATATTTTTCCCTGGCTAGGTTTGAGAAGAAACGGGATGGTCAGCCGGGCTACCTGTTCGGCAAGCAAGCTGTTGACGCCACTCGCAGAAAACATCGAATCGCCTACATCGTCCGGGGCAGCGAGGTGCGCCAATAAAAGACACGGTTCTGGACTGTTAGCGGGGGGGAGGGATTTTTAGCAGGGGGAAAGACCACTTCCAGTTTTTGCGCCTATGACCTGGTCTTAAAGGTACACTAAAGTCTCGTTGGTTTGGTTACCGGCCGGTAACCGTCCGCGGGATAGCAAACAGGGTTACGGTCGCGCTCGCCGCGGAGCAAAACCGAACCCGGGCCTCTCGCCTACGGCAAGCGCTTTGGACCACTAGGCCATGGGAGAGACGGGAGAAGGGAGGGGGCGAAGGGCTATGAAGGGTCCGGCCAAGCGGCGGCGAAGGGATGAAATTCACGACGGCGACGCGGTTTTTTGAACGAGATTTTAGTGTACCTTTAAGTGCAGTTTACCCCCCCAGGCCGACCTCCACCTACCATATCTCGGCTCCCTGTTCATCTACAGGCGTGTAAAGTATACCAAAGTACTCGCCAGAGCAAGGGGAACATTTTGGTATCCTTCAAACACCTGTGTATGAACAGGGAGCCGAGATATGGTAGGTGGGTGCCGACTAGGGGGGGTAAACTGCACTCCAACCATTATCTTTGTTATCTGTTGACAATATATAATTGATTTTTTCATCTTTTTAGAAGTTTTTGATTGCTAAAGTTCAAAAAAATTTGAATTTTCAATATCAAAATTATTGCCCGTGATTTTCTACGGCTTCATAACAGAATATACAACAATTTTGTAGCATTTTACATAGTTTTTAGATATAAAAACAATACTAAAACTAAAAAATTGCGTGAATTTTTGCTTTTGATAAAAAATGTATGAAAAATTGCCCCCCCGTTAACCGTCCAGAGCCCTAGCTCTTACCGGTTCTCCTTGAGTGAGCCTCCAATCACCATCACAGGCAATGAATTGCGGCGTGCGTTTTTTCGGCGACTGGCTCCTTTCTCTCTATTCAAATGCCACGGAACTTCATTGGCAAGATGAAGATGAGGAGAAAACTGACGCTACAGGGAAACCTGTCAAGGTCACGGTGAGGCTTTCACTTTATTTTCTTTGCTCCCAAAACTCCAAAAGCGTCCCAAAAAAAAACGAAGGACGTGTATTCGTGCTCATGATAGTACCTCTGCTTCAGCATCATTACTTTGGCTTCCTCGGTGCGCTGAAATATGATGGAAACGGCTCCTTTACCATGCTCCACCTCGTCACCTACCCGGATTTCTACAAATGTAGGGCGTGGAGATGTCCTCTATTTTTACTGGAGCGCGAGAGAGAGTGAGCGAGAGAGAGTGAGCGAGAGTGATAGAGAGAACCAGAGCGGGAGAGAGGGAGAACCAGAGCGAGAGAGAGGGAGAACCAGAGAGTGATAGAGAGAACCAGAGCGCGAGAGAGAACCAGAGAGAGAGAGTGTGAGAGAGAGAGAGAGAGAGAGAGAGAGAGAGAGAGAGAGAGATTCCCCCCGTAATCCCCCCTCCCCCCCATTGACCTATCTGTACCGAAATTTTCTAGAATTCTAGAATCTAAAGATTTTCAGCGATCGGCGAATTTTGCAGTCGCTACGACAACGCTCTCGGGGTGGATTTGGTGTTCTCGGACACGAACACTGTGGGTTACAATACAGGGTGTTCCAAAAAAAAAATCGGGCCCCTATAGCGGGCTGCAGAAGTATCCGATTTTTTCGATTTAGGTATTGATCGCAAACTCTCGAAAAGGCGAGCTTAAAAAACACTTTTCGCTTGTCAATATAACCAGTTTAATTCGCGAATTTTCCGACAAAAATCCATGAAAACTGCAGATGTTATGCAAAATTCGCATGTAAATTGCTTGCTCAAGGTGGTGGGATGTTACAAACCCAAGGGGGATGCTCATTTTACGCTTTTTAAAAAACTCGTGTAATGTCAAGCGCAGTCTAAAAAATTGGGAGGACAAAAAGCGCTTTGAAGGACTTTCGAATGGTGTAAAAAACATCCCGATCCGATCTTTTTCCGGGCCGCTAGGGGGGTCTTGTTTTTTGGGACACCCTATAGTGCTAATTTTACGTTTTTGTTTTCGTTCTCCAAAAATCTTAATGCATATAAAAGTGAGTGTTTGTTCGCCGTTGTACTCAATTACTAACTTTTTCGCAGAGCTCGTGTGGAATTTTTTCGTTTTTTTTTCGACGAAAATCGGCTATGTTTGCGCAAAATTGATCAAATTTAGCCGCCCGACGAGCCCGTGGCTGAGCCGAATTCGCAGGTGAGTTTCGTAAATTCCGAAAAGTTGGCCCAGCTGCAAGTTGCAATCCTGATAAGGGTGCTTTGGTATTATCGGGGGGTGGCAGCGATTTGCCTAATGCCATAGCATTGGCCGGAAGTAGAACGCTGACAGGAGAATTTTTCATTTTATTTTCATAAATGGTTACTAAAATCTAACCATATCTCAAGTGGCAAGGTGTGGAAAAGAGGTCAGTCCCCCCCCCCGGCCGGCACCCAATTTTTGTATCTCGGCTCCCTGTTCATCTACCGGTTTTTAAAGGATACCAAAATGTTCGCCTTGCTCTGGCGAGTAATTTGGTATACTTTGCATGGCTGTAGATGAACAGGGAGCCGAGATACGGTAGGTGGGGGCCGGCTGGGGAGGGGGGTAAACTGAACCACAGCCGGAAAAAAAAACTTAAAAAACACTGTGAAAAACTTGACATTTGGTCTGAAATTGGTTCCGATACGATAAAGCTTCACGAATATTTTCGGGATTTTTGCGATTTTTCGAGATGATACTTGGAACGCTACTTAAAGCGCAACATAAAAGTTATTGTTAATCAGGGGTCAAAGGATCGGTAAGATTACCCCGGCTCCCCCGCTAACGAACCAGATCCTGAAAATCATAGCAGTATCCGTTTAGGCGGAGACGCCGACTGCCGATGCCACGACGCAGGAGACGACCGCGCCCACCAGCACGGCCCAGACGCCGCCGGCTGACTCGAAGCCCGCCGCTAAGGTTGGATGAATTTCGATCAGTCCCTAATTAGGAAACTCCGTACGAATACGCACTACTGAAAGAAAGACCGATTCTGGACTGTTAGCGGGGGGGGGGACCACACTTTCCCCGTCACTCTCTACGGCTCTATAACAAGGTATAACCCAATTTTTTTGGAGCATTTTGCATAATTTTTCGATATAAAAACACTATAAAAAATAATCAAGATTTGCGAAAATGTTTGATTTTTGGTCAAAATTGTATGAAAAATAAAAAGTCAACATTTTAAATATTAAAAAAAAAATTTTGTAACTTTCTAGCAATCAAAAACTAATAAAAACACTATAAAAATACATTATATAACATCATTAGGTAGGTATCGGTGGAAAAACAGAAAGTGATTCCCCCCCCCCGCTAACAGTCCAGAATCGAAAGATCGCAAAAGCTTTCGATCAATATCAATATCATGGAAATTGGACACTCCAAAAATCCATAATTTTATTCTTGTGCACCCCATTTAAATGGCGATTCCTAGGAGCAGCCGGTGAAGCCGTAGGCCACGACCGACGGATGGTTGAGGCTGCGACTTCGATGTACCCCCCGACGACTTTAATGACCGACGCCCCAAAAACAATTTCTTTCTGATTTCCAACTCGTTTTTACAAGCTAATAAATATCACCGGGATTTATCCCCGCATGCCTTTTCTTTTTGCCGTCTTTTTGTCGGGCTTTTCGTCGTGTTCGACGCGACAGACCTCTCTGCGAGGATTCGGCAACCGAAAAAAGTGGAAAAACGTCGAAGTAAGAAATAAAAAATTTGATGATAATAAATATGACCTTGTAAAATAAAAAAAGTTTGAGCAAACACAAAAATCATTTTTGAAACTGGGGGAGGCATGCTAGTTTTTGATATTTGCGAAGTTTTTCGATATTTTCAAGACACCATTCGATAGAGAATAAAAAATGTACTAGCGTTTTAATTTTATCTAAGAATGTTCGGCATTTTCGACATTAAAAAGAATTTCTTGGACCTCATGCGAAAAAGCGTCAAAAAATATACGAAGATTCTTAAAGGTACACTAAAGTCTTGTTGGTTTGGTTACCGGGCTTATCGGGGGATGGGCAGCTGGAAGTGGCTCAAATAGCTCAGCCAACTACGTACTACAACTGCATTGGACTGGTCATTACAAGATACAACTACTTACATATATACGAGCCGACGACGTTGTCGCTCGGGTCGGCTGGGGTGACCTTGCCCCAGACGGCTCGCCCGTTGGTGGGGTACCCTGAAATATCACATGTTTAAAAATTTTCTGAAGCTGCAGTTAATTTGAAGCCTAAGCCTATGCCTGGGCCTATCCTAAGCATAAACCTAAGCCGAAGTCTACGCCTAAACCTAAGCATAAAACTAGAAGTAAGCCTAAACCTAAACTTAAGCCAAACCTAAGCGAACCTCAGCCTATGCTAAAGCCTAAGCCTAAAACCTTTTCGCGACCAAAAACCCCCACCAAAAAGTCGCAAAGTACGTCTTCATCGTCCATTTTTTCCATTTCTTTTCCATTTTCCATTTTTCAAGAATTTAAGCATTCAAGTTTCTGTTCTTTTCATGTCCTTGACAACTTATTCCGGGTCCCTGTTTTTTTTAGCCCCGTATTATTCGAAATAAACTAATTCTCTCATCTTTATAGGAAAAATCTTATGCAGCTGCTCCCAAGGTGTGGTAAACTTCGTAAAGTTTTATGGTGAACTTTTGAACTTATAGTGTTAGTTTTTGGCGTTGTTGCTATTTCTAGGATGGTTGAAACTGTTTCTCGTGGGGGCTTCACTGTGCGAGGGAGTAGGTAGTCAGCCCGGGGAGTGGGCTTTCCAGGGGGATTAGGAGATCCGCCCTGACCAACCAGCAGGCTCAAAATACCAAGAGACTCCTCGGACGAAATGCACCCACCGGCGGCTGCTGGGAACGCCTTTTTTGGCTTCTTCATATGCATTTTCGTACCTGGATGATTTTTTCGGGGGCTTTTTAATGCAATTTCTTAAATTTGATCGTCCTCGTTGTAAAACTTGCATAGCGCGGGTTTCTGGCGCCGTGGTATGCCTGCCAACTCGCCGCTAGCTTGAAATGCACGTAAATGGGCAATTTCTAGGGGTCGTTTTCCCTTTTTTTGCTCGGTCGCCTGCCGGAATCCCAGAACGATGCCAGTTTCTATGTTAATTTTTGCGGGGTTCCACCAAGTGACACCCGGGGAATGCTACTTTAGGCCCCCCGGAACTGCCGGTTCTGGACTGTTTAGGGGAGGGGGGGACCACTTTCCGTTTTTCCCCCTATACCTTTGTTTGTAGCAGTTTTTATTGCTGGAAAATGAAAAAAAGTATTTTAAAACTCTTGAAAATTCGAAAATGTTGCGTTCTTTTGGCCATTGTTCGTATATTTTTGACAAATAGTCAAACTTTTTGGAAATTTTTATCATTTTTGTATTGTTTTGATATTTAAAAACTACTCTGTAAAGTGCTATGAAAATGATTTGAATTCTGTTATGAGGTCGTAGAAAAAAAAAGGTTCACGGGGAAAAATTTGGTTTCGACTTGACTAGACCCCCCACCGCTAATAGTCCAGAACCGAAAAAGGCCGTTGATTGATCGCTTTCATGCTAGCGATCGGTAGGCAGGCAGAGCTAGGAGATGCTCGGATAGTCAGTGGTTGGTTCGCGGCTCGGGGTGAAATCAGTCTTTTGCCGGGGCGGCATGTGCCTCGATTCGGCATCTTTCCAGGCGCCCCTAAAATCGGCACGCCGCCGGAATTTCGATTTATGGCTGCCGGCGGTGGTCGTTGAGGCTAAATCTGAGTTTTCTGTTTAGAGCATTTTTTAGTTTTAAGCTCCTATTTGCGGCCGCTAACTAGGAAAAAGGTTGCAAAAGAAGAAAAAAGGTTTTGGTTCATCTCGTTCAAATTCTTGCTTTAATTCTAGGGCCCTCATTAAAATGGAAATAAAATACAAACTGAATCAAATTCGAATTAGTTCTATTTTCCAAAAAGCACTTTTTCACCCCCTGTTCTGTCCAAATCCATTCTGCCGCGCGACATTCCTGCCCGATCTCCCTGCGGCCCATTGAATCGGCCATCCCCCCTCGGGGCATCACAAGAAACATTGGCGCCTTTTTCAGGACGCCAGAAATGTTAGAAGGCTTTGTCTTTTGCACGAAGTCTCCCCCCGGTAGCCATCATGTGACGGCCCATTTCACTTGGGCAAGTGTTCGGCAGCGCCGGCGGCTGGTTTCTAGCTAAAAAACGCTGGACAGTGGCATTGTAGAACCTTTTCAGGTGGCATTTTTTCCATTGGCTTGTTGCCAGGGGGTGATAACGCGTGAATCGACTCTTTCGGTTGGCTAGGTGTCGACAGCGGTTCTGGACTGTTAGCGGTGGGGGAATTTTTAGCCCGGGGGGAAGCCACTTTCTGTTTTTCCACCTATGCCTATCTATCGGGTATATTATGTATTATTATGGTGTTTTTAGTAGTTTTTGATTGCTAGAAAGGTATAAAAAATATTTTTTAAACTATGAAAATTCGGAAATTTTGGTCCTCTTTGGTCATTTTTCATAAATTTTTGAATAAAAACTCAACATTTTTGGAATATTTTATTATTTTTTGTATTGTTTTTATCTAAAAACTATGTAAAATGCTATAAAAATCATTTATATTTTGTTATAGGGCCGTAGAGAATGACAGGGAAAAATTTGGTTTCCACACCGCTAAAAATGTCGGGATTTTGAGCTGACACGATTATGACTATCGGCATTTTCGCTGTCGAGATTCTGGTCTGGCGGGATTTTGACTGTCGGGATTCTCGTCTCTCGGTACTATCGCTGTCGGGATTTTCGCGTCGTCCCCCCTACCTTGCTCAGCCCTTTAAATCAAAGTGTCAGGTGGAACCTGGCGTAGTCAACAATTACTCACCCCAGCAATTCCATCAAATTCCCAAATTCCACCCTGCCGCCGGCTGCCTATCCTCCAGATATTATGCGTGTTTGCCGAGTGCTGGGGCATCTGCTGCTCCTGCTCCCTCTTCTCATGCTCCTCCATTCCGAAATCTTCACGTATGTCTGCCCGGGGCAAACATTGAAAACCGGTAAAGGGCCCCCTCACTGCCATTCCGCGTCCATAGGTGTTGCGTGGAGACTAGACTGCTCGACCTTGTTGCGGCCGTTGTCTGTGATCTTTTTGTTAGAGGCTAGAGGGTTTGTATGTTGTTGCAATTGTCTGAGTACTTGCTGGAGTTGTTGAGCTTTGCAGAAAAACTGGCATTGGTTCGTTAGCGGGGGGGTAGCAGATGGAAAGAGAATTTTCCCGTTCTCGTCGATTTCTAATAGTGACATATAAACTATTCTAGCAACATTTTACGCTTTTTTCAAATAGAAAAAATCGTAAAAATTATTAGGCTTGACGAGTTTGAACTCGTGCTCAAAAAGTTTGAAACAGCCTTTTTCCCTTTTTTCAATATAAAAATGCCATAAAATTGTTTTTGTGCTCAATATCTTTGAAAAAGGCCTCCCCTGCTAACGACACAGCCCCAAAACACACGACGCGTTTCCAGCGTTATACTGCGATATTGCTGTCCCTTATCGAGGGCCGGAAGAGGGGGGAGGTGTCGACTGGATCGAACCGTACTCGACAGTATGGATGAATGGAACACCCGAGTAGTCACAGTCCGATGAACCCGTGTGAGCCAACGGGATCTCGGAGTGTAGTCCCTGGAGGGTAGAAAGTATTAAAGGGGCTGTGAAGGGATGAGAGAGGGCGAGAGAGGGACGGCGAGATTGAGAGAGAGAGAGAGAGAGAGAGAGAGATAGAGAGGGAAAGAGAGAGAAAGCTAGGGAAAGCTAGGGAAAGCGAGGGAAAGAGAGATAGAGCGAGAGAGAGAGAGAGAGAGAGAGAGAGAGAGAGAGAGAGGGAGAGAGTGATTGTTCTACATCCCCATGTTAAAATGTGTGTTCCACTCCCTCACCTCATCCGCATACAGAACCCTCCAGGCGGGAACGGGTTGCCTTGTCGAGTTTCTTCCCCCCATCTTCACCTCCTCCTCTACCTCGTGCTCCCCTGTTCGACCTTGCCACCCACTCCCCCCGCTGTCCCCTCAGGGCTCAATCCCACTTTCCCCCTTGCCTGCAGCGCCGGCCATTGGCAATAATTTCAAATTCGCGGTCTTCCCTTTCAATTCTGACTGCGGGCTTAGGCTTAGGCTTGGGCTTAGATTTAGGCTTTGGCTTAGGTTAAGGCATAGGCTTAGGCTGAGACTTGGCTTAGGTTAGGCTTGGCTTAGGCTTGGGCTAGGTTTACGCTGCAGCTTGGGCTTAGGCTTAGGTTTGGGCTTAGCTTTCAAAAATGTTTTCCCTCTTTTCTCGTACTTCTTTTTCTCCAGTGATCCAAATGCCAAACAATTTTGCTATGCTAATTTCCGGCTCTAACCCTGCAATGCCAATCATGGCTCCAAGTTTACCCTGTCTCCTTCCACCCGTCTTTCCTTTCCGCACCCATCCTCCTTCCGTTCAGCCGGTTATGCTAATCCGGTGGGCGGACGGGTAAAAGATGGAAGGCAGCTTGTGCCGATCAAAAAGGTGTCTGTTGCGAAACTCTAGGGTTCTCCCTGACTTCAGAGAGCTAGGTTAAATTTGCCTTTGGATAAGCCTAAGCCTTGACTAAGCCTATGCCTATGCCTCAGCCGAATCCTAAGCCAAAGCCGAAGCTGAAGCCTAATCCTAAGCCGATCGCTAAGCCTGACCCTAACCCTAAGCCGAAGCCTAAGCTTTAGCCTAAATATGACTCGGCAGGCCGGGAGCAATATTTTTTGGGAACTTGCCGATGATGTGTTCCCCCCGGTTCCGCTGTCTGCCCCCCCCCCCCGCCAACCCGCTGAAGGGGTTAGCTTCTCCGCTCTGCCATTCCTTTCTACCCACGAGGAATCACCCGCGTACAGTCGCGTACACAAAGTTCTCAACCCTGCCAACCTGTCGACCCCGGTCTCGACCCTCGAATAGGTTGTTTTCAAGGGGTAGATGAGTTACGGATTTTGTGGCACTTAATGGTAGGAGTCTCGTAGGATTCCGTACGCTTTCTCTCTCTCTCTCTCTCTCTCTCTCTCTCTCTCTCTCTCTCCTTCTCTATCTCTTTCGCGCTATCGTTTTTCTGGCACAATCCCTTTCAACAAGAACACCTTCGATAAAAGACTTCTCTCACCCGCTCTCCCCCTGTCTCTCTTTCTCACTCCCTCTCTCGCGAGCGCTGTCTCTATCACTCACTCTCTCCCTCGCTCTATGTTTAAGGAAGCCTATGGTAGTGTATTTATTTTCTTTGTAATTTGTAACATCCTGACTTGTAACTCCACGAGTTTCACCCAATTCCAACCCGCTCGCGAGTCGCACTCCCCTTCCGATGCGAAACGATCCCGAGGTACCGGTTGCCGTGGGTATTGTCAACCCCCACCGGGGGTGTTCGTCCCCATGTACGGGGGAAATGCCATTGTCAGAGAGAGAGAGAGAGAGAGAGAGAGAGAGAGAGGGAGAGAGATATAGTCAGGTACAGACAAACGGACTGTGCACACCGCACTTCGATCTGGTAACTAGGAGCCGAGGGACTTCGATTTTATCATGGAATCCTGGCTTCAGCTGAGTAAAATTAAGCCTAAGCCTAAGCTTGAGCCTAAGCCTTGTCGGAAGCGGTCGGAGCTCGAACATTTTCAGCTTCTCGTAACTTCCCAGTCTTTTTTAGAGAAATGTGTCGTCGTATTTTCCCCCTGCCTTTCATTAATGCATATCTCTCCTCCTCTCTCTGGCTCTCTCCCCCTCGCTACCTCCATCTCTCCCTGCGATATCGTAGTTTTTGCCAAAAGTTTCGTGCTAGAAATAATCAATGAAACTCGTTTGCATTGTTTTTGAGTCTCGTTCCGTTTCGCACCTATCGGCACCTCACTCCTCTTTTGAGCCCGGAGGCTACAACCCGGTGAGGGAGAGTTCAAGGTGGGCAGAACTTGACAACCCCAACCGGATGTCAACCCTCCGGTGAAGCTAATATCATCTTTTCTTGTGGGTTTAGCAGCACTCTCTCTCGCTCTCTCTAGCTCTCTCTCGCTTTCTCTCGCTCTCTCTCTTTTTCTCTATATCTCTTTCTCTCTCTCTCTCGATCTCTCTCTCTCTCTCTCGCTCTCTCTCCCTTTCTCTCTTTCTCTCTCTCTCTCTTTCTCTCTCTCTCTCTCTCTCTCTCTCTCTCTCTCTCTCTCTCTCTCTCTTTCTCTCTCTTCCCCCTAAAACTGGCTACTGGAATACAATTTTTGCCTGACTGTCTGGTAGAAACCCTTCAGGGGGAAGGGATTTATCACTAGCCCGCCGGCTTTTCGTGGAAGGTCATTTGGAGCGTGACGTAGTCCTTTGAAGATGCAGAAATTACTGCTGACTCATTGCTTTGTCTCCTTTGCCCTGGGGAGCTTTTCGGTGCCGTTCTCGGGATTTACTGGACTCTTAGCGGGGGGGGGGGGGCACTTTTTGTTTTTCGACCTATATGGAGCTACCTGTTGATGATATAGTATGTATTTTTATAGCGTTTTTAATAGTTTTCGATTGCTAGAAGGTTATAAACACCTTTTTTGAATGTATAAAATCCGAAAATGTCTATCTTTTGTATTTTTTTCATACATTTTTGAGCAAAAAGGTCAAAATGTTCAACAATTTTTTATTATCTTTTGCAGTGTTTTTATCTAAAAACTATGGAAAATGCCGCAAAAATGGGTAAGATTGTTTTATAGGGCCGTAGAGATCCACAGGGAAAAAATTTGGTTCCCGGCTAACAGTCAAGAACCGCTAGTTTTCCCGATTTTCCCCATTTTTTGCAGGACCCCAGTCTTGTATATTTGCGCATTAATGGCTATCACTTTCTCCTGGCAGACACACGCCAGCGAGAGTGCCCATCATCACGTAGTTATGAGGGGGTGGGGGGCGGAATTGGCGGTTGGTGTAGTGGATAGTGGTTTGCGACCGTCCGTCGGGATGTATTATTGCGTAGCCGTGTTGCCTCATCCCGTTGTATTCCATTATTCTATCAGGGGAGCAAAAGAAATGAAGCTACTGCTCTCTCTCTATCGCGCTCTCTCTAGATTTGTCTACACCTCCTTCTCTCCCCCATCTCCTCCTGCTCCTGCTCAGAACTGGATCTCCGTCCCGTTTGCCATTGGCAAGGCTTTTCCTGCCACCCCCAGCCATTTTTGTTTTCGGATTATCAATCAGCAGGCGGCTGGCACCATGTGCAAAAACTGGACCCCAGCCACCACCCGGATCAGGCAGAGCTGAAGGCTACGAAGAGCTCCTCCGCACGGGTTCAGATAGTATTTACTCGGAATTGGCCTGAAAATTGGGTACGGTAGTTGTTAGCTTGTGGCCAGGCGCCTATAGTGGCCTGACCTGGCTTCCCGGTCCCTTTAACAACCAGATTTTGGTCGAAAAACTGGTGTCTAGCTACCTTAAGCTAGCTAAATGGCGTCGACGCATTAATGAGAGGAGTCTAGTCGTTTAAAGGGGCTTCGAAATCTGGTCCACGACCCCCTGCGTTGATTTGTGGCAAATAGCCAGATGAGGCCGCAACGCAACCGCGCCGAATGATTTTTTGCCCCTGTTTGGACGTGAAAACTCTTGGATTTAAAAATTCTGACGCTATTTCTGGAATCCTCATCGGATTTATTCATTCAGGACTCCTTAATTATGAAAATTGATCAGAGAATCATCGAGATCGAGAGATTGGGCTCCTTACAAGGCATTACGGCATGTAATCGCCGCGCACTCAAAATGTTGCTAATACTCAAACTTTGCGGGTTTACTCAAATATTTTACGTTATTCCACAGGTCTGTGCATCCACCCGAAATCCACTCGGAATCCCGGAGGGGATCGAGGGGAATTCCACTAGCGGACGCGAGTGGATTCCACATGGAAATCAAGTGGATTCCGGGTGGAACACATGGAAATCGAGTGGAAACCAAGTGGATCTACTCGATTTCCATTTGCCGCGACGCGTGGGGCCCGTGTTGCGTCGTGTTTCCACTCGATTTCCACCCGATTTCCATGCGTTCCACCCGAATTCCTGGTGGAATCCACACGGAATTTGGGTGGATGCACGGACCTGTGTCGCAACGAAATCAAGTTCTTGGTACTTCTCGGCAGCCCTTGGTTTTTTCAACCAGTAGGTTCAGTCCCGCAAGCACGAATTTGGACTTCCGAGCCCCTTTAAACCTACGGTATTTGCCCTAAACTCTACCCTAGCTTTTCCCTTGCCCGTCGTCGGCTTGTTGTTGTGCCCCCCCATCAAAATGACTGCCCGAAAAGGTGCTGATGCTCAATATCTTCATATCATCGTCCGCGCCCCAATCGGGCAGCCCGTGCAGCGCCCGCTCAGACTTTACACTTATCAGGTTTCCTGTTTTCTTCGTGTGCGTGTGTGCCATCGTCTTGGGGTGGTGAGGGTAGTGGTGGTGGGGTGGCAATAGGTGTGGTGTGGAAGGGTAGGCAACGGAATTGCCCCCTCCGCCCGAAAAAGCGTCCGTTGACCTCGCCACAAATGAGACACTCGCCTGGGGCGTTAGACGCTGTTTTTTTATATAAAACAGAATTTTTAAATGTAGCATTGCCTGTTCTCTCTCTATCTGACTCTCTATCTCGCTCTCCCTTTCGCTCTCTATCTCTCTCTGTCCCTTTCGCTCTCTATCTCTCTATTTCTCTCTATCTCTCTCTGTCCCTTTCTCTCTGCATCTCTCTATATATCTCTCTCTCTATCTTTCTATCTCGCTCGCTCTCTCGCTCTCTCTCCGCTCGCTCTTTCTCTCTCTCTCTCTCTCTCTCTGTCTGTTTCTCACAGCACATGCTAGTAGTTATGGAATTTTGAATTATTCCAGGCTACGTAACGCTAAATCTTCATAACCCCAAGTATTTTCTGTTTTTTTTTTGCTCCATTATACGCCCACCGACTTATCGCACTCGCTGCCCCGGTTTCTCCTGCAGCTTGGCTTTCCAATCTCTGTAATTTCCAGAAAAGTCTTTGGACGTTTAGTTAGTTCCTCCACCTCTCCGGCGTCCGTTTTTGACCTTTTTGAAAAGAATTCCCTGCATATTATCGCTCCTAGAAATCATTGCCACCTCCCAGGTTCATCGACCCGACCCCGAAGCTTCTCCCAGCTTCCTTGGTAAAACGTTGCCGTTGTCTAATTTGAGGCGGGGGAGGGGGGGGCAAGGTCGAATTGTCTGACTAGCCCTCGTTATTTTGGCACTTATTCATCGTCACGCAATGTCTGTCTACAACGTCACAAACCTCAAATGATGTTGGAGGGCAGGCAACGTTTTTTAGGTTTAGCTCCCTGGTTGTGAGCTACGGTTTACCTTACCTCCCCCTCCCCGAGCCGGAAGGTTCTGGCTATAACTTATTTATTTTGCATTATTTACAGCTCAAATTAAAAAGCTTAGTATATTTTTCGACACTCTATCGAATGGCGTTGAGAAAATTCCGAAAAATAGAGAAAATATTGAAAACTGACGGAAGCTGAGCATAAGCCTAACCGAAGCCCTAATCCTGGACCTATGCCTAACCGAAGCCTAAGCCTAAGCCCGAGCGACGCCTAAGACCAAGCCTAAGCCTAATCCTCCTAAGCGTATGCCTATGCCGAAGTCTAAGCCTAAGCCTAACTGAAGCCGAAGCCAAAACCCAAGCCCAGGCCGAAGCCTAACTGAAGCTTATGCCATTGCCTAGCGCCGCAGGCAAAAAAATAGCAAAAAAAGCGTTTGCTACACTCAAATTCGTGCGAAAACACCACAGAAAACGCGCCGCAGGCGAAAATTTTTTATGAACATTTGATTCTCCAATGAAAAACCAGCGCCGCAGGCAAAAAAATTTGAAAAAATAGGCTTCGTATAAGTAAAAACTGTTTGAAAAACAGTAATAAACAGTGCCGCAGGCAGAAAATTTTTTGGAACTAAAAATCATAAGGGTCCCCCCTTATAAATTTTTCGGACCTCGACCGATTTCGGGGGGGGCCCAGGGCCCCCTGGGCCCCCCCCCCCTCCTACGGGCCTGCCTATGCCTAAGCCTATTCCTAAGCCTATTTCTAAGCCCATTTCTAAGCTTAAGCCTAAGCATATGCCCAAGCTAAACCTTGGCCTGTGTCTAAGCCTAATCCTAAGCCTAATCCTAAGCCTAATCCTAAGCCCAAGCCTATGACTAAGACTAAGCCTAATCCTAAGCCCTGGCCAATGAGCCTAAGCCTAAGCCTATGCCCAACCTAAGCCTAACCCAAATGCTCACTCCGAACCCACACGACCCTGGTTCAACTCCCGCTGGTGCGGAACCTTTTTCTTTGCCATTTCGACTCCCCTCCCTATTGTTATTCCAAAGCCGACTCCTTGACCAATGCCGATTTCACCTGAAAAAAGGAAAGCTGAGCCTCCCTCCTAGATGGCAGGGGGGATGGTTGAAATCGCCCGTGGGGGAACTTAACCCGGGTGGGCTTTTGCGTGGGGGTGAAAGGGGAGGTTTGTGTAGAGGATGGCAGCAGCGGAACCCGTCTTCTTCTTCCCCCTTCTTCCCTCTCTTTCTCCTCTTCCTCCTTCTTCTACTGAGGAGGTGGAGAGAGACGATCTGTCCGACAGTCTATAAACCATCTCACTGTCGCTCTCTCTCACTGTCGCTCTCTCTCTCTCTCTCTCTCTCACCCTCACACCGCACAAATGCCACCACCGGCCATCGAATAGTGCACACTGGCTAGCCAACGGCAACTTGGATGGCACACCCCAGGGGGGAGCTTCACTTTTATCAGGTGGAGCAACACCTGGAACTCGCATTCTCACTCTCTCTTCTCTCTCTCTCTCTCTCTCTCTCTCTCTCTCTCTCTCTATCTCTCCCGTTCTCTTGCTTACTCTCGCTTGCCGTCACAGATTTTTCCGGAATTCCTGGCACCTGGCCTGGCTGTCTTTGCCTTTAAAGGCACTGGAAGCTAGGAATTTTGCACTTACTCACTCTCGCCCTCGCTCTATAGCCCTCTCACTCTCGCACTCTTTCTCCCTCTCTCTTGCTCTCTCGCTCACTCGGTCTCACTCGTTCTCTCTCGTTCTCTATCTCGCTCTCTCTCACTCTCTCACTCTCCCTCCCCCCTCTCTCTCTCTCTCCTCTCTCTCGCTCTCTTTCTCGCGCTCACTCGCTCTCTCCCTCTCTCTCTCTCTCTCTCTCTCTCTCTCTCTCTCTCTGTCTAACTTGACTCTGAAAATTTGTTACTTTTTGAACCATATATAATGTTTCTAACCATCTCCATTCCCAATTTCATTTTATCTTCAAAACACTCCAAAATTTCGGGACACCTCAATTTTTGGGCTCCCCCGCAAAAAAGTATCTTGTTTGGTGGGCAACCTTGTGCCCTGTGTGGCGCGGGATGTTGATGATAAACAACTTTTTACTCTGCGGATCTCCGAACCATTCCACCCGGGATCTGCCATTGATTTCTTTCTCATTTTCCGTAGAGATTTTCAGAGAATTATCGATTGATTTTCAACTATGGAACCCTTTTCAGGAGACCCCACCAAAAGGTCGGCCAAGAAAACGAGGGACCCGCCCGGTAGAGTACGATGGTTACTCGATTGGTGAGGATTTGGCTTGGGTCTAACTTAGGCTTAGGATGGGCTTAGTCTTACCTAAGGGGTAGCTTAGGCTTAGGCTTAGACTTAACTTAATTGAGTAACATTGACTTTTAAAGGGCCATAAAAGTCATGTCTATCGCTTTTCTATTATGAATTGAGCAAAACGCGCGGCGCCGCCTGCCCTCCTTGAAGGCGGCGCAACCGATTACGCAATGAAACTGCCTTGCCTGCCCCTTTAAGATATTTTACTGTAAACCATTTTTTTTCCAGATATTCTTGCTGGCCGTGAGCCTGTTGAGTCTCACGGCGGCCGGCGGAGGTGGCGGAGGAGGGTATGCTGGTCCCGCACCGGCCCTTCCACAGTACTCCGGGGCGCATCAACAGGTCAGCATCCTTCAAAGCCCCCTTTAAAGCTATAGAATTATTTTCATGTCAAAACCCCTATTTTTAGATTGCTTCCGGTCCTCAAATCGGCGGTATCGTCGGGGGGAGGCTATGCTGGCGGCGCTGTTTCCGGCGGCCAGTACGTTATTGTACATTTTACGCTCCATTTTTCTGCTTTTTAGGTTCTCCTCGTACGGTCCCGACTTCAACCCGTTGTTGATGGGCGGAAATAAGGTATGTAACTTTTAGCTTGGCTAGGAAAACTAGTGAAAACGCCAAAATTCATTAGCTACTTTAATAACTTTAATTAGTTGCCAATTAAGTATTAAATTTTAGTTATATTATATTTAAATTTTATTTATATTTAAATTTAACAAATTCTTTTTTTAGGGCTACCCCGGCCTGCGCGCCCGCATCAACCAGCGCGCCTTCCAATACGCTTCCTCCGTCATCGCCCCGCTCCTCAACTCGGAGATCCAGAAGGCCCGGCTACCCCCGATCAGCCAGTGCATCCCACAGGTTAGCTCCTCGCTCCCCGACATCCTCAAGGAGTCCACCAACCACATTTTACTTCCAATTCATCTAGGTGAACGGCTGCATCCAAATCTACAACCTGTACGTCTCGCGCTACCGGTGCCCGCAGCGCATCTCCATCTACCCGGCACCGCCGAATCGGCTGGCCGTTGCTGTGGAGAATCTGGACATTGGGTGGGCGACGTTTTCGAGCAGTTCGGGTAGTCGGCTCCAATCCTTACTTACGATGTTTCGTATTTAACCTGTGTTTTTCAGCGTCACCGGAAATCTTGGAGGGCAGATCCAAATCCTGCTCCCCATCGCGTTATTCGGAATTGTGCAAGCTAACCTTCACCAAGTGTCCATCTACGTTGACCTCATCATTGAAAGGTGAGTTTGGGAGGCTTGTGATTGGGCTTTGGCTTAGGCTTAGGCCCCAGGCTTAGGCTTGGGTTAAGGCGGCTTAGGCTTGAGCTTAGACCTAAGCTTGGGTTTGAGTAAGGTTGGCTTGGCCTAAATGAGTGCATTTAAATTCCTCGTTTTTGCTAACTTTTCTGAATTCAGAACAGCCACGGGTGCCCCATACATCCGAATGGGCAGCTGCAACGTGCAGATCGGATACGCGGACGTATGCATCCAGAATGGCGGCTTGATCGGCGATATTGTCAACAGCCAATTCAGGGTACGTATTTTGAGACCGGAACAAAATATTTGACTGTAGTTTTATCATAGGAGTGTAGTGTAGGCAATTTATCGCATAACCAAAAGCTCAACCGTACATCTCATGTTTCTCAAAACACCTCTTCCATTTTCAGGGTCGCATATCGTCGATGGTCAAGGAGATGGCTCCCGGCAAGATCTGCGCCCAGCTGCCCGCCATCGTCAACGAGAAGCTCAACGGAAAATTGTCCAGTAAGCTTTCTACGGTACTACGATACTTACTTCTGCAATAACAACGATTTCCCCCACTTTCCAGGCCTCCCTCAAACGATCGCCCTCACCCAGATGGCCTCAATGTTCGGCAGCGCGCTCGGACTTGGCGGAAGCGGCGGCGGACCATCGGCTGAATACGTAGGGCTCCTTGGTTACGCTCATCAGACTCGCTTCAGTGCCAAGCTTCCTGCGCCAAGTCTCCAGTGGTTCTACCGTCCGTCTCTTCCACCTCATCCGGATCAGCACCGGCCCCAGTTTCCGCCCCGGCTCCATCTGTAAGTTGCTTCCACGCGTACCGTAACCTACCATTTGTAGGGAATTGTCGGCAGTGCCCCATTGGCCTACCGCGACGGGCCCGTCGTCAAGGTCAAGAAGGTCGCCGCCCGCGCTATCCCGGTTTATAAGACTGGCGTCCAGCGACAGGTCAGAAATTAGATCGATTATTCTAGGCTATGGTGGTTTGGTTGTAACATAGAATATGTGCTTCTGGACTGTTAGCGGGGGGGGGGGGGATAATTTATAATGTATTTTTATGGTGTTTTTAGTAGTTTTTGATAGCTAAAAAGTTATAAAAAAAGCTTTAAAATTTTTACATTCGAAAATTTTTTATCTTTTTGGGATTGTACATGCATTTTTGACCAAAAAAGGCAAAAACGTTGTAAAAATTTTATTGTTTTTGATCGTGTTTTTACATCTCAAAGTTTTTAAAATGTTTTATACTTTTTTATATCTAAAAAAATTATAAAAATGGTTTATACTTTGTTATACGGCCGTAGAGGAATACAGGGAAAAATTTGGTTCCCCCGCTAACAGTCCAGAACCGAATAATCTAGCCTTATAATCTTATTTTGTAAATCTACCGCCTCTAATCGTGTAGCTTTTGTAATAACGTAACCCTCGAATCCACAGCGCGTGTACACGTCGCCGGCGCGGTACTCAATCCTGGCCGCCTCGTTGTACCACCCGCCTCCGCACCAGCTACGTGTCAAAACGCAACGACTACCCTCACGCGGTGAGCTGATCCCCGGAAGACCTGTATACCCCACGAATCGACACCGAAAACTACGAAGACTCCCGAGAAGACGTCACGCAAATGCTGCTGTTACGGTGTGGCTTTTTGCTAACGAATTAATTGCAATATAACAAAAAACTATGGATTATTTAATTTAAAATATCAGTTAATATAAATTTTTAGTCTTTGAATAGGCTTCTAATCACTTAAAATTCTTTTTTTTTGTAGTTTTCAGACGTTTTTTAGTTTATAAACTTAATATTAAATTCAATAATCTTTCTTTTTTTTTCTGCTAATAGCTTTTCTAGAATTGAAATGAACGAAAAAATTAAATGAGTAAAACAAAATGTAGTTACTTCATTTTCGCGTCATGCGTTTTTTCAAAAGTGCAATCTACCAATAGCCTTCTAATCAGCTAAAAACTAGATTTTTTGTAGTTTGTAGTTAGTATAACAAAATACCAACTTTAGTATAACTAAATCCCGTTTTTTAATTTTGACGTTCAGTGTTTATCTAAATTTTAATCTACCAATAGTCTTCTAATCAGCTAAAAACTAGATTTATTTTTTGTATTCTTTAGTTAGGCTAAAATTTAGTCTCTAAACCCTCCTAATCCAATATCAT